TTTTTTTTTTTTTTTTTTTTTTTTTTTTTTTTTTTTTTTTTTTTTTTTTTTTTTTTTTTTTTTTTTTTTTTTTTTTTTTTTTTTTTTTTTTTTAATTTATTTTATTCTCCCAAATCACAATCAGATGTGTCCCTTGCAGAGAGCGCAATTTCTTCGCCGGCGCCTTCAACACCGAGGCACGGCCGAGCCCGGGGTGTCCGGCGGGGAGAGGGGCTCTCTCCTGCGGCCCGGGGGCACCGGGACACACGCGGTGGTGGCGCCGGGGGAGGTGCGGGGGTCCCGGCAGCGATGCTCGGCCCCGCTCCGGAGCCCCAGCCTCCCCGGGCTGCGGCTCCCGTCGGACCGAGGGGAAGCGGCGCGAAGATGCCTCGTCCCGAGGGATGCCGGGGTTATCTCCGTGTTTGCTTTTCTTCCGTCCCGCGGATCCCTCTGCCCGTCAGCGTATCGGTTATTTCTTATATTACTCTCTGGGCCGGGGGCAGGAGGCGTCCAGCTCCCCCAGTCTCAACCCCAGCTCACAGGCTGGGACGAGTTCCCTGCCTGCAGTTACCGCTATCAGCGATACCATAAATTTTGGTGCGATCTCGGGGAGCTCTCGGACCCTCAGTCTACTCTACAGGGTCCCCAAATGCTCCTGAAAAATCCTTCAGTTATTGTGCTGGCCCCGTGCTCTTACCATCCTTCTGCCTTCCAATTTATTTCCAATAAAAGGGAAACAAGTTCCCAGTTTCCAGTAAAATGTGTCACTTTTATGCCAGGCTTTGCATTTCAGACCATGAGCAGCCCCAGCCGCGTCAGACTTCTGCAAACGAAAATCACTCTGTTTTTTCCTTTTCCACCGACTTTGCTGGGAAGTGAATGTTTTGCAAGGATGAAGGTACCGTAAAATAATTTTCCACAGCCCGATCCCTGCGCGCCGTTCCCTGGGGCCGTACCTATCGCTCTGCAAAACCAGCCACGGCCAAACAACCGTGTTGCCCTGCCAAGCCCACACTGCCTGGAATAATCCCCCCAGATAAAGATCACAATAACCCTATTCAGCTCCCACCCACTTGCTCATGACCATCAGCCCACCCTGATTTCTCTCCTAAATCCCGAGAGAAAGTCAGGCCCTGTGGTCAGGGGGGGCTGTGGACGCGCCGGGCAGGGGCAGGGGATGAGCGGGGTGTTGGTGGTGATGCCGCCGGTTGCACGCTGGAGGCATCTCCCACCGCTTGCGAGGGAAGGCAGAGGCGGCCAAACCTTGCTGAACAGCCCTGCTGAAGGGGTAGGTCAATTAGCCAAATTAGCTGATTTTGCCTCAGGTAGCGGTGTGAGAACTAGTTACAATTTTTTCCATCAAATTTATTTTTTTTCCTTTCTGGAAAATCGTTGAGGTTTTTATTTTTATTTTCATCCAGGGAGAAAAATTATAAAATGTGTCTGCTTTGCTTAAAAATTTGGGTGTTTTCTTTGGTGAGCCCATTACCTCTGCCAAAACTGAATCTTTGTTCCTATTCACGCTTATTTGGTGCTGAAAAAGAAATGCACTGCAGTTTCTGACAGAAAGTCAAAATTTCCCACGGGAACGTTTTTTGCCAGCCAGATCTAATTTTTTCTTTATCGCTTCTTGCTGCCTGCAAGATCCCAGCACTACCCGAGGAGAGGACAGGTCTTGTCCCAAGGAGATGTTCTCCAGGGATCCGCTCCTGCAAAAGGAACCCGGCCAGCAGAGCTTTTCACAGAATCAGGTTCCCATCAGCTTTACCTGGCAAATAATTCATCCACGTAGAGCTTGGCTTTACAGTCCAACTTTGGCTGAGTGCCTGGGAGCGAGCGTGCTCCAGGGAGGACACAGCTTGGAGACAGGCTTGGAGGTCTGTTCTCCATCCTGCCTCTCTCCAGTGCCGTTGGGCTGGCTCTGTGTGCTCAGCGTTGGTCCAGCCCAAGCCTCACGTCTCCAACCCGGTTTGTCCTGATGAAGCTTCCAGCTCCCCTGTGAGACGAGATTGCAGCTGGAAAAGGCTCGAACTAAAACGTTCTCGGAGCTCAACTGCTGGTGCGAGCTGGTGTGGACACATGAAAATGCAGGCAGGGGCTTCCACCAGATTTAATGACATCACTAAAATGACACCATTCCACAATTTCTTGGGAACAGCGGTGTCATTCCAAGGGCTGGACATTAACCCAGACAAGCACCTTCCCTTTAGTTACCGTAAAATACCTTTGCATTTGGCCGGATAAAGCACTGCTGGACAAGCCCGGGGCTGCAGCCCGCTGACAGGCACTTGGAGAACGGCCTCCAGACTCTGTTCCCAGTGCTGGCTCTGGTTCTTCACAGCCCTTTCCCCCGTGGGGCCGGGAGATGCACCCGCCACCTGCACGTGTGCCTGACGTCAGCGGTGTCTGCAGGTGCTGGGCTCCGCTCGGAATTTGGCCCTCTGTGATGCCTAGAGAGTGTTTAACAAAACCAAGTGCAGTGAGTGGAGGGAAACACACTGTGTTTTCAGATAGGGGATTTGGCACAGGCAGCACAGGGAGCCTGGTGTTAGACAGGCTCTGCTCCGTGGTGTGAGCTGCCCTAGGGCTCCCAGGCTGGGATGTGTCTCATGTCAGAGCAATTCTCAGCAAGTTTCTCATTCGGCTAAAAGGAAACTTCATCCCGGGCAAGGAGTTGACCACGAGCTATGGGGAACGGCCTGCCACACACTCCCAGTGAAAAACTCCCTTCCAAACAAACCCGGGGCTTTCTCACCTCCGTGGTGGTCCAGGGATGTATTTGCAGGTCAGTGCTTACTAAAATAACTAGCAGGCTCCCTCATCACAGCCAGAGAAATCACATCCTCCCACAGCAATGAGCTCCTCTCACTCTGCTCCCACAGAGGGACGTAAGGACTGCGGGATTTCATTCCAGGGAGTTCCCCGTGTCCCTTATTAACTTTAGTTGATCTCTTTTCTTTACCCTACATTAATCACCTCTACCTGGAAAGCCTTCATGGTTCTCATCCTGTCTTTTCAACTGTTTTCCCCAGGGTTGGCAGAGTGGGTAATCCCACTGGGTGATTCTTTCCTGTTCCCCTTGGCCTCCAAATGGGA